GGAAAAGTCACTTGAATTCACAAGGATTCATTCACCTTTGCACAGTCTGTTTCAGTGACTGTAGGCAAATCTGCTATCCACTTGTAGAAGGGTATTATTGCTTTCCTACTAATGTTCTATTTATAAAAGTACAACGGCAATGCTGAGTGCTATAACAGGACCAGAAATCCCCAATCCAGGGAGGGCACATACGTAACTCCCTACACCCAATGATGTAAAATATTTTGGAACACGACATCTGAATTTTGTGTACTTTTAACTAAACTGCTAATTTTTCTCAAGTGTTGTGACAGTATGATTTAGGCAACGTATGACTGAACCAGTCCACTCATAATGTATAGGCACATTAACATAAACATTGCACAAAATATGTCTCCGACTTAAACTGAGAGATGTAAAAACATATTTTTCTCTTTTAAAGAACTATGCGAGGAAATAAGATTCTGATTGTATGTACACTTTTCCTAATACTTAATCACAAACAGTAGATTGCAATGCAGTTTGTAAACATTTTAAATTGCATAAACTCTCAGATTTTCAAATATAGTTTAATACTGTCTACTAAAACTCCGTTTTGTCTCAGCTAAGTACTCTCATAGTTTAAAACAATCTCCATCCAAGAAAAAGAAAATCCTATGTACAAGTAGCCAGTGTGGCTGAAGAACAGAGATTAGCCAGTGGAGCTGGGATGGTAAAAATCCATCTCCTAGCCTCCAAGAAGCCGCAGGGACACAGGAAGGGCAGCGGAGGCGTCCTGCCTGCACTCCTGAGCCCTTCTCAACTACAGCCTGGTATCAGCTTTAGGGGCATTTAAACTCCATATGGATTCCTTATGATCATTACTGAAGACACGGAGAAGGCCATCCAGTGTCCCTTTGTGTACAGGGACATGATAAAATACACTGGGACTGGTAAAATATATAAAATGAATTCTGAATTCTGTATTAAGATATAAGCGCTCTTCTCAGCTAGGGAAGCTAGGGAAGGTGTGTATCTGGCTGTCGATACACACCTGTCATTCTGAAGAATGACCCTTTAGTTCATCACTAAAGAAGTCACAGTATCTGCACATGACGATAAGTTTTCACTAGCCCAGAGCACATAAAGATACTAAAGGAACTCCCAAAGTATAGCACTCATACTTGGGCAATTTAAAGAGGCTTCAAATATACATTCTGCACACACCTGCCAGAGGTCACTTTCCTCTTCCTCAAGAAAAGAAAAGCTCCCTACAAATGTTACTGCTCCACTCTAATTATACAGAAAATAGAGAAAAGATTATTTCCAGTTCTTGGCATTTAAACAAATCTAAATATTGGTACTCATAGTGGCATGTTAGAAAGTAACAGAGAAAACAGCGCGTACTGGAAGGCAAATCGCAGACTGAGCCAATTAAGGGCTCACTGTGATTAGGATTTCATCAAACATAATAGCAGAACACAAGCAAGCTTCATCTTAACTCTGCAAGGAATATACACATTGCAATAACATAAGAAAAGCACGCAGCTCATTCCCAACCAGAGAGAACAGTTTGTGCAAATAGTGGGTCTTTGTGTGTTTGAACTCCCACCATGTGAGGGCAAACTCAATATGCATGCTAATGACCTACAATTGCCAAATTAAAAAAGAAGAAAATGCTAAAGGATGCCAGAGTGAACAGAAGGGAAAGCCACACAAAGACCCACTATCCTTGAACTTGTTACAAATAAAATTTAACTGTAAATTAGAAACACAAAGAAATAATTACAAGTGGCTCTAACATTCAATCGAAGTAAATGAATTGTGTAGGAGATATTTGATCAGGGCTGCCTGCCCTGCCTCCAGGCTAGAGTCAAACTTGGATAGTGGGTCTCTGGGGTGCTTTCACAACTGGAAGACAACATTGGGTCCTAAAAAAAGAAAAATGGGGAATAAAATGAACATAACATAAATTAGGCGGGTGAGAAAAATCTGACTTATAATAACATGCAACATCAACTAAACAAATTCAAACTATTAAAACTCAACCTTTAAAAATGTTGTAGTTACATAATAAAATGGAAGAAATACTCGTAAGGCCCAGGGAAACATAAATGGCAATCTGTAAGTTAGCCTGCTCTCAACGGCTCCTACAAACACTACACATACAGATGGCTCATCTGTAAAAATCTAGGTAGGTGCAGTGAAGAGCTGATATCAATTCCTGACTTAAGGGTTAAGCATTTTCTGAACCATATCCTATTAAAATTATAGGCGTACACAAACTTAATGTAAGTGACTTTCACAGCTACTGATAAAATTAGCTCTATGCTCCATATCTGAAAAAGGAATTATGACTATTAAATTTCTAATCAATAATCATTTCAAATAAGCCAAATTTGTGTAAACGGTTCTGTAAAGGGTTGTTTTTCAGGAAGAGTAAACTTTCTCGGAGGAACCTATTTAGGAATTTTCCTGAGAATTACAGCATTGAGAACTCTTTTAGTCCAATCCAGGATGAATGATAAATCTTTGGTCACTCACTTAGGCAAAACAATATTCAGTTTTCACAGACGATCAAACTAAAAAAATATATCAGCCCAAACACAGGGTTCATAGGTAAGTTACTGGTAAGTTTTATAACAAAGAGAACTTTGAAATTATTCCTATTTTGAACTAATCCCTTGAACATGCTATTTTCCAAGCTCTCAATACATGAAGTGATCAAGAAAATAGTTGGAACCTCCTCCCAACACCCATCTTCCCGGCAAACTGTCATGGCTTGCTCTTCCTGTCTCAGGTCACACACCTAGCACTACAACACACCCTCTGCCCCCACAGCTCTCGGGGGTCTTTCCCAATACATATTTGTATAAATCTTTATTAAAGCAATAGTTACATTCTTCTGAGCATCTGTCTCCCACTAAATTCTGAAACTGCTCGAGAGCAAGGACAGTGTTCTCGTGTTCATGTTTCCAGCACTTTAAGTGCGTGGTGGTTACTGACAGAACGTATTTACAAAGCTAACTGAACAGTGCGATGAATGTTAACCTGAAATCCTGAAACATGATGAAAATTAAAATCCAAAGCACATGGATTTTAAAATTGCCGTGTAGGTCACTTGTGACCGAAGGGCAACTTTTCGTTTTCTTCTTATTTCTGTTTCAGTATTGCTATTTCCTTGTTTTACTTCAGGGCTTAAAACTGGCTCTCTTCTGGGGTTGTGCTGTCCAATATAGTAGCTACCAGCCACAAGTAACTATCTTGCTTTAAATTAATTGAATTAAAATTGAGTTTGAGTTCTATCTGCCACATTCTACATGTTCTGAGGCTACCTGTGGTCAGCAGCCACTGTGGGGTGGTGTAGACTGTTCTTCACTGCAGAAAGTTCTGTTAGACACGGCACTGTTAGACGGGCCCTCGTCAACAGGCAGTGATGTACCAGCTCTGCCCGCGTTACAACGGCAAACAGGACATTCTCTGGCCAAAAGTAATTTGTATGACAAATGTGTCCTCTGCTAACCATTCATGTCAATCTATTTTGTATATCAAACATTTACTGACAACCTACTATGCTGTTTAAGAACGAGAAGTTGTCACTCAACTTCCTGGGAAGGTTACTTTCCTACGAGGTTGTCAATAGGACAGTAACAACAAAATACTTAAAAAAACTACCACTGTAGAGTACAGATACTACAGAAGCCAAATGCACTAATTCAATGGAAAGACTCCTGGGATCACAAGCCAAAGGTCTTCCAGATACAGGATTACCCTCCCAGCTCCCACAAAGGTGCTGCAGATAGTTCTAAACTGATTTCTAAACTGATCACTGCAAACTGCAAAGCCACCAGCAGAGCTGAGAAATGGTTGTTCATTAGGCAATCCAAGTTGTTATCATTTCTTTACCATTTCTTCTGAAACCCTGAACCATTTTTGGGAACATTCAAACTATAAAAACTGAACTTCCCCACCTCCACACTGGAAAATTTGGTACTAAAGGGCAGTTCTCTCCCAGAACTCTCTCTCAAGCTCTACATTGAAAATAATGCATAAAATTACAGACGTGGTATAAAATAACTTTAAACCTAGCAATGAATCATAAATGCATCTCAGTTTTGACTGAGTTACATTTATATGCTCTCAGCAACTAAATTAGAACAAAAAGCTCAATCTTTTCAAAATTTCATTGGAGTGATAAAAATACAAATCGTGACCTACTTCATAAACAAAAACAAAAATAAGAGATGGAAAAAGTAATATTTTATAAAGGTACAAACTATTTACAAGTATTATTTCTTCTCTAGTGTATTAATGCTGTGTTCACTGTCAGCTACCAAAAAAGGACAGGTAGTCACCAAGAGATAACAGTTTCAGATTTGGACTACTGTTTTGAAATAGTGAAACCTTGATTTATACGGCTTTCTGTGGCACGAGGTAGCTAAGACTTACTGAGGTTTCACACGTGTTTAAACAGGTTATTTTCCTTCCAACCTGGATGATGATGTGTAAGCATGAGGGAAATAAATGAAAAGCTTGCAAAATTAATGGCATCTGAATACTAAAGAATAATTCTGAATAGGTGAATAGGGCAATTATAGTAATAGCTATTTTTTATTAAGCTGAAAAAGAACACTGGTGGTAGAAAAAGAAGCTGGTGGTGAAGGGCAGTTGCAGTATAGACGGCTATTTACCAAAAGACCATGAGAGAAATTATACATGTTTATGATATAATCTCATATTAAGATTGGAAGCTAGCAAAAAATATTTAAAATAAACCAGTGAAGGGCTGGGGATTTAGTGGCTCTGCCTCCTGCCTCACAAGTTCAATCCCCAGTTCCATAAATGAATGAATGAATGAATGATAAACCAGCATAACTTCTGATGTTGTAAACCATTTCCTTTTGTTTTGTCCTACTGTAAACATTAGTCTACATTTGCCATCTGTGCTGAGTGAAAGATCTGATCCAGAGTGGTAATAAATATTATACTACATATTAAAGTTTTCGTATCAGATAAGAAGTAAATACTTTGATATTACTCACACTGCTGACTTGGATCTGAGTCTGTTGTCATCTTCACATAGTTGGAAGGAAAAAGACCTGTCACCCCATTGATCTCTCCTTGCCACCAGTCAGGGTCATCTTTGTTCACTACATTAATGAGTTGTCCTTTGGAGAAATTGAGCTCATCTTCATTATTTGCTACATAGTCATACATGGCGATCACCTGACACACTATCAAAAAGAACAAAATAACAGATTAATGATTCCTTTAGGGATCCAAACTATCCTTAGGCTTTGTATTTAATATTTTATATTAAGGTAGACTAAAGATTCTCTCGGACTGTTCCTTTTCCCATCCTCATTCCCGTACTCCTTGTCTTACAAAATCAAGCACTAACCAACGCCAGTTGAAAATCCAACTGAACTGCCGGGCGTGGTGGTGCACACCTGTAATTCCAGCACTTGGGAGGCTGAGGCAGGAGGATTACCATGAGTTAAAGGCCAGTGTGAGTTGTATAGTGAATTAATTCAAGGCCAGTCTGAGTTACATAGCAAGACACCCCACCCCACTGGATCAAAATGAACTGCTTTCCTTTCATGTTGAAACATTTCAAGGAGTAAAGAAGTTCAAGCATCAAGGAGCAGCTGGTTGTTCTTACACACAAGTTTTCAGAGGGAAGTGCTCAGTGGCATGTTACTTTTAAAGCCAGTAAAAAG